CAAAATTTCACAATAAATAATAATAAATTTCACAATAAATAAGATTAGATGAAACATCCTAATCTATACTTACATCGCGCCTACGAAAGTGCTATCGTCCGGACAGTCCAGGAATTGGCTCGCCGGGTTAACTAGTATCTTTTTCATCCGAGGAATTCCTGCGAAACCTGTTGACTTTTTTTCTGCTTGTACGATTCATTTGCGTTCACGTACACCACTAATATCCAATAGAACTATTTTAAACAGGTCGCTGCACTACCACCTAATTTTTTATTGCTTTTTCTGTGACAAAACTGAATTTTGGTCTTTTAAATTGAAATACCTAAATAAGGGGGTCGAAATTTTCCTCCGCCCCGGGCGGCTGACACCCACGATACGCTACTGGACCAGCCATCGTCAAATGATTTTATAGATATTCTAAAAGAATTAAAAAATTTGGGTTCATATTGTCTTAGTTTTGGATACAGCGTCAGAAACATTCCATCGTCAGTCTATCTCATAATATTGGGTGCACCCAAAATTCTCTTTGCCTCTGCCATCGTCTTTTATAAGGACGATGAGAGGAGGCACACACAAGCTATTACTTTCACGTCCATTTCCAAACTGAGCCAGTGCTAACGCTCCACTAAACGGTCGTCGAACGCCGAGCTAACGCGCGTTTAACGCAACGCGAAACGCCTGTGTACACAGCCTTGGACTTAGCGCCTGGAGTGCTGCTCCGTTCGCCCTATGGTAGGGCCGGCTCTGCCAACATGGATCACTTTTCAAATATTAATAGACCAGTATTAATTAGTAATCGTTGACTATCCTCACCCAGGAGATCAACTATTATTTTTGATCGAATTACTTCGACCCCCTTCCTTAATAGTCCCTTCATTCTATCTGTCCAGCGGTATGGTGGCATTCGAATAGGAAAATTACGTAATATAAGGTTATCGGCGAGCACAAAATATGTTTTAAGTGGTTGCCTGCTTGACCAATGAAATTGTGCCATTCGTACTATCCGAGTATGACGATAAACATGACAATGGTAAGCTAAAATAACCAAACTCTTTTATATGATTTTAGTTTTAATATTTGTTGGGCTGCAATTTGAAAAAAACTATTGACCTATAAATTCCCACTGTCATTTGTCTGTCTTTCATAATCTCGAGAACGGAGTTAGATGAAAGACAAAACCAGATATGGAAACTTTAGGGACAGAAGGCCCCGATTAACTATATATGAACTTCCGGTGCAAACTGGAAGTAATGTTATTTCAATTCAAATATTTTCCTCTGAACAGTGTTAGATAGATGACCTGCACAACTCTACCGTTAAAGGAAAAGTATGATGTATACAGGGGCAAGCCACTACTAATTTGAGGTGGAGAGAATATAATTTAAATTAAATTAATTAAAAATATAATTAAAAATTTCAGCCCAGCAATGTGACAATATCACAATAAATAATTGATTGTTATATTTTATTGATGTAACGAATATTCGGCTACTATTCGGTATTCGGCCTATTTTTCGCTATTCGGCCGAATACCGAATACCTAAAAACAGGAGTAATAAATAACAAAAACACAGTAAATTAATCATTTTGGTATTTAGATTTAATGTNTTCACGTACACCACTAATATCCAATAGAACTATTTTAAACAGGTCGCTGCACTACCACCTAATTTTTTATTGCTTTTTCTGTGACAAAACTGAATTTTGGTCTTTTAAATTGAAATACCTAAATAAGGGGGTCGAAATTTTCCTCCGCCCCGGGCGGCTGACACCCACGATACGCTACTGGACCAGCCATCGTCAAATGATTTTATAGATATTCTAAAAGAATTAAAAAATTTGGGTTCATATTGTCTTAGTTTTGGATACAGCGTCAGAAACATTCCATCGTCAGTCTATCTCATAATATTGGGTGCACCCAAAATTCTCTTTGCCTCTGCCATCGTCTTTTATAAGGACGATGAGAGGAGGCACACACAAGCTATTACTTTCACGTCCATTTCCAAACTGAGCCAGTGCTAACGCTCCACTAAACGGTCGTCGAACGCCGAGCTAACGCGCGTTTAACGCAACGCGAAACGCCTGTGTACACAGCCTTGGACTTAGCGCCTGGAGTGCTGCTCCGTTCGCCCTATGGTAGGGCCGGCTCTGCCAACATGGATCACTTTTCAAATATTAATAGACCAGTATTAATTAGTAATCGTTGACTATCCTCACCCAGGAGATCAACTATTATTTTTGATCGAATTACTTCGACCCCCTTCCTTAATAGTCCCTTCATTCTATCTGTCCAGCGGTATGGTGGCATTCGAATAGGAAAATTACGTAATATAAGGTTATCGGCGAGCACAAAATATGTTTTAAGTGGTTGCCTGCTTGACCAATGAAATTGTGCCATTCGTACTATCCGAGTATGACGATAAACATGACAATGGTAAGCTAAAATAACCAAACTCTTTTATATGATTTTAGTTTTAATATTTGTTGGGCTGCAATTTGAAAAAAACTATTGACCTATAAATTCCCACTGTCATTTGTCTGTCTTTCATAATCTCGAGAACGGAGTTAGATGAAAGACAAAACCAGATATGGAAACTTTAGGGACAGAAGGCCCCGATTAACTATATATGAACTTCCGGTGCAAACTGGAAGTAATGTTATTTCAATTCAAATATTTTCCTCTGAACAGTGTTAGATAGATGGCCTGCACAACTCTACCGTTAAAGGAAAAGTATGATGTATACAGGGGCAAGCCACTACTAATTTGAGGTGGAGAGAATATAATTTAAATTAAATTAATTAAAAATATAATTAAAAATTTCAGCCCAGCAATGTGACAATATCACAATAAATAATTGATTGTTATATTTTATTGATGTAACGAATATTCGGCTACTATTCGGTATTCGGCCTATTTTTCGCTATTCGGCCGAATACCGAATACCTAAAAACAGGAGTAATAAATAACAAAAACACAGTAAATTAATCATTTTGGTATTTAGATTTAATGTTGTCGGGTTAGTGTTGTTTGTTTATATTTATTTATAACATGCACAAAATAAAAAAATAATATTAGTCACACCTATTTACAATTTATAATTACAAATATCAGCACACGTACACATATTCGTTCGAGAATCGTCGCACACATCTGAGGGTCTGACTCTGCCTATCCTTTTTAAGCGCTCGTCTTTGCTCTTCTCTTTCCTCTATCGCTCTAGTCCACGTATGCCTGTACAGTACATACATCATAATACGTGCTCACAATCTTTCGATTCGTCACTTTTCCGTCGTAGTTTTTCCATTTTATAATTACGTGACTCATAGCCTGGTGATAACGGAGAAAAGACACAGATAGGACGTCGGTATATGTCACAGTTATGATTTCACAGATTCGAGATAGCTTGGTAGCCCGAACGGTCCCAGGCTTTCGCCCGTGCACGCTAAGTGACTTTCATTACAAGCATTTAGCTATCCGAAGTCTATGACAACAATTGTTTGGCATTGACGGCCGCAAATTTCGCGCCAATTAGCTGCTTCGACTTGTTCGATTATGTTATCAACTCAGTTTCATATTTATTTTCACATTTTCACTTCGCGGTCTTTCTCTGTTCTTTTTCCGTTATTTACACGTATAGGTCATTTCATTGTTATTCACATTTGATGATATCATTTATCACATACTTCCATGACGCTCTTGTCCGTCCGCTACAACTGTCGAGAATTAACGCGATTGGCAAAGCGTAGTGACAGCGGTACAATGGAGAGCAGGGTCCTTGCCATAATGCTATTTGCGCGCCAATTTTCGTACGTGCGTTAGACCCTGTACACACTAGGCGTTTTTCAACGCGCGTTTAAAAGAACCAAGAGTTCTATGTAGCCCTACACACTCAAAAGCCAAGCGCGCGTTAAACGCGCGTTTTGCGAGCGCTTTACGGGCGCTTTGAGATATATGTGCTGCCATGTTACCGTACATGCGATCGCACGTTTTGCGTGCGTCAGCCGAGCGCTTTGAGATATATGTGCTGAAATGGAGAACGATCATTTCGATACTGATGAAATCTAAAAGAGACCAACCATCGTCAAAGGATTTTATAGATATTTTAAAAGAATTAAAAAACTTGAATTTATTTTGTCTTAGTTTTGGATACAACGTCGCAAACATTTCATGCGTCAGTCTATCTCGTAATATTGGGTGCACCCAAAATTCTCTTTGCCTCCGCCGTCGTCTTTTATAGCGACGATAGAGGAGCCACACACAAGCAATCACTTCCACATCCATTTCCAAACCGAGCCAGTGCGCATGCTTCGCTAAACGCTCGTTGAAAAACGCCTAGTGTGTACAGGGCCTTAATCAAGCGGAGTAGTTTGGCCGAATATTCGGCTATTCGGCCACGCTCCTGGCCGAATATTCGGTATTCGGCCTGAGGCCGAATATACTATTCGTTGTAACACTAATTATAATATTTGATTTATATAATTACAAAGGTTATCTTACATAAGGGTTTATCATACCAAATGACCAATCTGAGACATTTTTCAAATTCTTTATTCCTCTATTGTACACAGTTTAAAGAATTTTTTAAATGTATTAGATTGGTCACAATTGGTGTGATAAACCCTTATGTAAGATAACCTTTATAATTATGTAAATTAAATACTATAATAAAATATAAGGTATAATAAGAGTATAAGGTAATAATTAGAAGTACGAAATAATCTAATAATCTTAATGTTTATTATTCTTATTTTTTTCCCATGCAACATGGGACTTTTCTCCTAGTTTTTTTATGTAGTGTATCTGTAATTCTGTACTTAAGTATTAAGTTTAATTAGGAATAAATTTAAAGCATTAAAATTAACTTTTTTTATAATAGAATAAAACAAATTTATTGTATCAATCAACAACACGTTTTATAATTTTACTAAAAAATTAATTCATTCACATGAAAACGAAAATTTCAAATTCATTTTGATTTTTATATAATTTTGATGTATAACTTAATTATAACAAATTATAATCTAGTTAGACTAATAACGATTTTAATAAATAAGAAAATTTAGACAACATTTAAAATATTGCAATAACTTTCCTTACATTAATTTTTGTGCAAATCAAACTTGGTAATGTTATTACTAAATGCAAAATTATTTCTTAAATATTTGAAAGACTCCATTACAGCATTACAAAAATGCTTGTTGTGCTGACCTTTCATATATTGCATTGAGTATGCAATATGAAAAATAAAAAATATATATGTTTTAATTGGCACACACATGTAACCTGAGATACAATTTTAAATTATTATTAAAATTTATAAATAATTAGTTTGAAAATAGTAGTATTTTATATGACTCACATTTTGAAAACTTAAATATCAGTTTAACATCTATTTAAAATGACTTACATTCTGCATGAACACTAAATATATCTTACCATAACAAATTACTTATAAGATTGAAGAACAATAAACAGAAAAATATGTAAATAATTCATTTAGTCCATGGGCATTCTTTATTTTCTTTCCAAGTACAACCATCTTCATATATTTCCTTTTTCCATATTGGTACCTTTTCTTTCAAAGCATCCATGCACCACATGACTGCTTCTTGTGCTTCCCTTCTGTGTTCAGAACATGCGGCAACAACAACACTGGCTTCACCGACTGGTACCGTACCCTTCCGATGAACGATTGCAATATTTTTAACTGGCCATTTTTGCCTCATTTCGTTACTTATTTTTCTCATTTCTTTTAATGCCATTGCATCATATGCTTCATATTGTAGTTCCAAAACTTTTTTACCTTCTTCATTATCCCTTGTTGTTCCTATGAAAACAGATACCCCGCCACATGTTGGAGAAATAACTTCATTTACAATTGTTTCAACTTCCAATTTCTCAAATGTTATCTTTATACAATCCATGAAACTAAAACAAAGAAATGAAATAACTAAATTATTAAATTTGTTTAAAGAAAAAAGGTCCATTCTAATTCATACATTATAAAAATATGTAATTTGCAATAAAGTGAAAAAAAGAAATACATTCTATCTCATTTCAAATTCTCTCAGTTATACTTTTATACTTGTATAGAAAATGAACATAAAAAGTAAATATATAAGCCTTACTTATAAATTTAATTCCAGTATCTTTGTTTATGTCATCTGTCTTATTAGTTAAATTGCAACTGAGAAACTGAATAAAAGAATATATATTTAAGACAATTTTAATTTTATTTTCTGTTAAATCTGTGATGAACTACACTTATGATAAAATTATAATAATGAAAACAATTAAGTTTATCTAACTGATAAAAAAAATCTTTTTTAAATTTAAAATCAAATTATTGCAATGCTTCTCTTTCATGTTATTATATAATACTTTCATCACACATCACTTTTCATAAAAATATGAATGTCATTAAAATTAGATTTTGCCATTTAATGGAAATCATTTCATTGCAATCTCAACTTTTTAAAAATCCTGAAGATTGAGCCAAATTTACATTAGAATTTGTTGGAAAAATTTTTAAATATGACACAGAATAAGATTTATATTTAGTGCAGGGATTCCTAACCTTTTCATATATTGACTGACCACTTTTTAAGAAAAATTTTTTTCTGCTGATTCCATCATTATTATATATAAGCAAGTCCTCCTACATAATTTTTAATTCATATCTTCCTAAATTTATTTGATAAAAAAAATTATGTAAAATTTTTAATACTTTTTTAACAATTTTTGTTTTTATTGGAAAAGTTTTAACAATCCACCTCTCAAACTTTTATCAACCCCTAAAGGGTCAATAGTGACTCTTTAGTGATCAACAGTGTTGGGAAGCTTTGATCTAGAGAAATGCTGTCCAACATCTATGCTTCAATTGTTTTAGTAACTACTAATGTAATATCTATCAATAATAATAATTTGTAGTTATGAAAATAGAAAATTTACAATAAATGTGTTGAAAGTAATCATTAAGGATAAACAACCTGAATGCCTTTAATATTTAACAGTTCTGACAATAAGTCATAAAAATTTTTTTATAAATCATCAATTAACAGCACTGATATAGAGTGTAGTGAACAGCACTGTGTAACTGTGCTAAATTGTTTCATAAACATTTGAAAACTATTTCAACATACCAAATTTTTTAAACTGTTTTCAATGATACATTTCTTCACTTATAGAAATCTTGCAAATCTTATTTATTTATTTTTAATAATTTCAGACTTTTTTCAATCTCAAAATGAGAAAAATTTTTCTCCATAAACTAAGTGAACAGTTAATATTGTTAGTAAATAAAATATAATTACTACAGCCATTCAAAGATACTGAAACAGAAAAAAATACAATTTTATCAGTGTTTTTAAGGGTAAAGCTGTTTTATTAGAAAGGTAATTGCATCTTAATATCTTAAGTAGTAAGAGTAGTGTTTCCAAAATAGTGGGCTGCAAACCAATGCTTGCACATCTTATAATAGATCAGTTTATATTCAGTAATACAATAAAAAATAAATTTAATTTAATTAAATTGAAAAATTTCTCCCTTATATCCATTAAAACTAGGTAGATCATGCAGTTTGTCATTCTAGAAATTTATAGTAAGATCCCACTTAATGCTGATTCAATATAACATGGTCTGCTCGAAACCTAAAGAAAACCTCAAAATTTGCGCTTATTCAAATTATCGTGATATTTCATTGATTCATATATAATACAATTATTCCCAAACACAAACCAATCGGCAAAAGATGGTATTTGTCATTTTTTTTTAAATCTATATTTGTTTGGTGCAATTTCAGAAAAAATATAACATCATGGATGCCATAGGCAATATCAACTTTGCTTGGCAAGAATTAACTGATAAATGCATGAACAGAGTGTAGAAGAAGTTATGGCCAGAAGTATCCAAGGATTCTTGAAGAGCCAATTGTAGGTCGACCAAATTGTCAACCTAATTGATACAGCAAGACTAGGAGATGTAGATGAGCAGAATATTGAGGAGTTAAGTTTCTGGTTTCTGCAAGTTTCTGGTGAGAGCCTTACCAATGACAACCTTCAAGAACTGGCAGAACAAGGAATTCATATAGAACTGGAAAATAGTGATTCTGAAAATGAAGAACCTAAAGAATTTCTCTACAGATTTCCTTAGTAAAAGTTTGAAAATTATAACCAAAATCATTGCAGCGAATGATTCAGATTAGATTTTGAAAGGAGAGCAAAAGCAAGACGAGACATTTTGAAAGCAATCTCTTGCTACTGACATTTGCTTGAGAAAAGGGAAAAAAATGACAAATGACACTAGACATTGTAAATATGTATAAATAAAATGACATTGTAAAAAAATCAAGAATATTATCAGAAGGCCTAGGACCTTTATCACAAAAAATGAATTCTACATTTCTGTGTGCATATATTTGTGTGTTATTTAACATATATTATTATGCAAATTAATATAAAAATAACTTAAAATTAAAGTAAAATCTGTTTACTTTTGAGTGTATATTCCCCTTTCCCTATTTACTATGTTAAAATGACTTTGTTTAATGCTGTTTTGTTTAGCGCTTTGTCATCTAGGAACGTTCCCGCGCATTATGCAGGGTCTTACTGTAATTGCAATTTTAAAGTTTGAGAAGCATTGAGTTACAACATTCCAACGTTTATCAAAACATGAAATAAAAGTTCATTTTTTTTAAACCCATCTGGGATTAAAAGAAACTTTTTCTTACTTAATTTCTATTTGAATAAATATGTATAGTTTGTATTAGGATTTATATCTTGAATGTTAATTACTAATTATTTTATAGATTAAAATAAAAATTAATTCTTTCATTTATTTATAAATTTGAATCAAGTTTAAAAACATAACAATTAACGCTTTTCACATAACAACTGTAATTTTCTGACAAAAATTCTTTTCATGATTAATAATGCAGGAAATGCAAATACTCAAACAATACAGTTTTAAGATTTATATGATAGACTTTGTAATATTTTGATTTTATAGTGATTTTTAAAATAATTTTTTGGCAAATCATTAAACTTTTATTCACTATTTTTAATAGTTTTTGTTTATACATATAGTAGTTTTTTTATTGTATATGAAGCAGATTAAATTTATAATAAGTTTGTTATTAAAAAAAGATACATTAATTTAGAAAATTTCTTCTTACATTCGAATGAGCAACAAATACGGAAGGTTGCAACAATATATATTAAGATATTTATTAAAATACTTTTTATAAGAGGAACTTTAGAATAATAAAATATTACAAAATAACTTAAAGTTTAGTAAATAATGTAGCTGATAAAATAAAAATTGAAAATTAAGAGATTATATCAATTCATTAATTGGAGGAGCTGAAAAAAGCAAACTACTATACTCCTGCCTTTATAAATAAAAAAATTAATTAATTAAGACATCTAGCTATTAATAATACTGCTAATTCAAGTGATCTAACATTCTGTTTATCTGGAACAGTCTTGGAATGTGTGTATAAAATCAAAGGCAAAAATCCATCTAGGATATCAAATATCAAAAAACTCAATTTCACAAATTAGATTTTAACTATTGAGAAAAACTACCATAAATAATTTTTAAACTAAACTGTAAAGGACTAAATGAGTTTCTAATTTGAGGAACTGTTCCAACTTTGAAATGTTTTAAACTTTTTAAAAATGCATAATTGCAACAATGCTCATTGATATGAAATAAAATAATAAGTGGCATAAAATCTTCAATCAACATGAATCATTACAGGATTATTTTACACTTTTACCATTTTATGATCATAAAGATAATTTTTATTTCATAACTATTATGAGTTCAACCAAGCCCGCAATGAAATAACTAAGTGATGAGCAACAGACCAATACACCCAAACCAGATCATCTGTAAATATTTATATGGGCTTGATCTGGACTCAAACTTAAGTTCTTTGAGCATGACTAATTTATTCATCTGATTCTGCTAAAGAATAAAAATCCTTGAAGACTTGTCATGCTCCAATGTGTCATTTTGTAAAAATATCATTCTGCTAAAAACATAAATGTACAAATTTCAGTTCATGAGATGTTCACAGATAAATGAAAATATTTGTTAAAAGTTATTATGTAGTGAAATTTATACATTACTAATTACTGATGAAATAATTAATATTCACAACTCCAGATCTAATTTTATTTGTAGAGGATAGAGTAGCTGTTAGGAGTATAGCCAAGAACACAGTCAACTTTGAAAACTTGTGGTTACAATTTCTCAAAATTGCACAAACATTTTCAGATGTCTGATAGGTAGAATCAAAATCTGAAAATGTTTCTGGGTCCCTAAGTTTGCAAAGACATTTCAAAAAGCAATTAATTGACTTGATTTTCCAACAAGATTGAACCCTTCTCCAATACCATTGTAATATGCAGATCTATCTGAAGCAGGGGCGAATTCTCTAGGATTGCTTAGCATGCACTGCATGCTTAAGAGAAAGTTTTGACTGTCAATATATTTTTATATGAGAACAAATATGCCAATAATAATTTATTCTAATGTGTAAACTCTTTTATCATTTGTGTTTCCTTTTATATTGGCAGCTAGTGGCTAGCCATTTTAAGTCAGTGAGATGCTTGCAGGAACTGGATTGCTTGCTTGTGTGGAGGTTTTCCACAGCAAACAAGTGCGCACGCATGACATCATTCGAAGCATTTAATATGGTCAGATTGTATCAAAAGCTTGCAGTACCCAGTCAACATACATGTACTGTGTACAGGGGCGGATCTACATAAGAATTAATAGGGCTTAAGCCCTGGGCCCCCAGTGTCAATGGCCCACAAAAATTGAATTATCGTCATAAATTTCTAATACTTTTTCTTTATAATATATTTCATGTGTAGATATAACAATCTTTATAATAGTCCATACTTTTTTACTCACAACAA